GTTGGCTTCCTTGGGAATGGGTGGTCAGGGGCGCCGACAGAGGGGGGAATGACCCACGGGGGGTGGGAGGCAACATCGACCACCAATCGCCAATTCATCGCTGATCGGAGCCTGGGTGTCCCACCCCGCCCAAGAACGCGCGGCTTCGCCGTCAGAGGCCCATCGCCGATCTAGTCGCGATGCATCGACGAGGACAGGTCATTGTTTCCCCCCCTGAGCCAGTCCCCCCCTCTTTTCCGTCCCCCCATCAGGTGGTGGGGCGGGGCAGGAAAACAAACAAAACCTCATGTTTCCCCCAGAGGCAGTGTTTCACGCAAGACCAAGTTTCAGGCTCCGCAAACTTCGGGGGCGTCCAAGGGGGGGGTGATGTCCATGGGGGGGTTCATGGCTGGGCCAACCTATTTCAACGGATGTCATGTTCTCTCTTGTTCTTTCATCACGCCCCCTGGTCCTCGCCTTGGTCCGCTCACATGTTTGGATCAATTGTGATGATTTTGCTACTATTTCGGCGGACCCGACTCCAATTTACTTGATCCGCCTTCCTACTTCATGTTCCCACGTATTTTTTCCGACCGGCGGCGCCCCGCCGCCGGTGCCCAACGTGTAACGCCGCCAGCGACCCAGAATCGGTCGATGTTGACCGATTTGACGTTTTAGAAACGGTCGATCGTTCAAGGTTGAACGATTTAGTTGTTTGATTGTATTGTAAACGCTTGGCTTTCTGGGACCCCTTGATGCGGGTGCTTTATCTTTCTCTCCTCCCCTCAAGCTCCTTGGGATCAAGGTGGGGGTCGGCCTCAGGTGGCCCTGAGCCGGGGCCCTGGGTAGCCTTCCGGGGCCCGAAAGATTCGTTCGCGCGGCCACGGCTGCACGCGGCGCGAGGCGGCGCCCGCAGATGGGCGCGGCGGAGGCAAAGCGCTCGGCGGCGCCGGCTAACGCTTGCCGCTGGGCGCCGGCTGCTGCGGGCGGGCTGGGGCTGTTCGTGGGGGCGGCGGCTCTGAGCTCGCTGGAGTTCCTGGGCATACGGCCGCAGTACGAACCCGTCGCGGTGTACTACGACGACGGGACGCACAGCGAGCCCATGGGGGACCAAGGCGACTCGTCCATCGACGACGCCGAGGATTCTGACGGGTCAGAGCCAGGCGAGCGAGGGCTATCGCCGGCGGGGGGGGGCCCGCCTGGCGATCCGCCCGAGCCGCCGGCTGCCCCGCCAAGGAAGGACGCCTCCAACACCTCCCTCCGTGATTCCTCATCCCTGCATGAATCGGGGGTTCGGGCCTGGGCTATTGGGAGAACTTCGGAAACCGCACCAGGTCATGGAGGGTCGAAGAGATGGGAGGTCGGGCTCGCTTTTTTCGAGAACCCAAAGGCGCCTTCTCCACCCAACAGGGTTCCGGCTGGCTGCACTCGGACGGAGGCTGGATCCGGCTCCTGGTCGGCAGCTGCGGCGCGCGCTTGTCCAGCGCCGCCTGGCCCGTCGTCGGCTGGCCCATCATCGTGGTGGGCTAGGCCAGCATCATCGCCCTGACGGCCCGCAGCCTGCGGACCAATTTCGCGCCCTGCTGCGCGCGGGCCTGCTGGGCCGTTAGAGCAGACGCCGGCGTCTGACGCGCTCGTTGCTGCTGCGCCCGGCGAGCGCCAGGCGGAGCAGAGTTGGACCGCCTCCCGCCGCCGGCGCCCCCGCGGCCCACGACGGCCGTTTGCACGGTGCCCGCCACTGGCCCCAACACTACGACATCCTGTTACCAGACGACGATCAGGGCGCGGGGGACTGGACGCGAACCCAATGACCTCCGCGCGCGCAAGGATGGGCACGTAGTCCGGCTCGGGCTCGCCCTCGGCAACCCAGAACGCATCGGGAAGAAGGGGGCCTGGACCCAGCACAACGAGGTCAAGAGCGCGAGCGCCAGGACCCTTCGGCAGAAGCTCGAGCAAGGCACGTGGATCCACCTGTGCCGATGCGGGGACTGCCAGCAGAAAGACGAGAAGTATATCCCCTTGCGTGGAGCACGCCGCGCTGGATTCGGCGGCCATCGTCGACGTCGGCGCTCACGTCCTATTCGCCACGCGTCGGTTCTACGCGCCGGCGGGGCGCGCGCTCACCAGCGGGGCCCGCATGTCCATCGCCGGTTTGATGCAACTCCTCCACTTGGTTCGCCGCCGCGGGCGCTGCAGCCGCCGGCGACGCCGCCGCTGTGAATCGGCAGGCGCTGCGGAGCCGAGCGTGGCTGGGAGAGTGGCAATGCTCCTGGATCAGGAATCGGAGTCCGGGGTGGAGGTCGATGGGCGCCCCTGCGAGGCCGTCAAAGTCGGCGCCCTCATCAGGCGCGATGCGCCCAATGGCCCCGGAGGGCTGCCGCGATGCAGCTGACGCGACGCCCGTGACCTCGCTCTGGGAAGACGGGCCTGGCCTGCCACCCCCCGTCGAGGGGAGGAACGCGACGGTCTGCCTATGCGAGCGCCACAAGCAAGCGCACAAGGCCACGAGGATCGGGGACAAGTGCTCGACCGCCACCAGTTTCCACCACTCTGTTGGGTCGTCAGCCGGCGCCCCGCTCTGCCTCGCGCATCTCGGCGGCGAAGCTGGGCGAGCCGCGAGGCGACCAGCTGCGGCGGCTAGCCCCCCCCGCGGGACGTTCGCCGGCATCGAGCGCCGCATCGCCCGAGGCGGCAGGAGCCCCGGGGGCGCCAGCCCGGCCGCCCCAGTCGGTGCAGGCCACTACAGCGCATCCCCGCGGACTTCAGCACGCGGGCTTCGAGTCGCCGACGGCGCCCGTGCCGGCGTCGAGCCCGGAGGGCCTCGGCAGCGACGACCTGGAAGCGGGCGACTTGAGGCATTTGCACGTCCGAGCTCGCGCGAACTGGCCCAGCGGGGCGCAGTGGGCCATCTTCCTCTGCGGGCGCAACGGCGCCAAGACGGGGCAGGGCGACGATCTCTGGGCAGGGGTCTCGCACGGCCACGACGGGGCAAGCCTCGACTTCGCCTCGAAGTTGGACGAAGCGCAGGCGCGCCCCGCCTGCAGCACAGCAGGTCACCTGCCGCAGGGCTGCCTGGAGGAGCTCCTCTACCATCCACCCGCCGGGGAGCGCGAGATGGGGGCGGCAGTGGTCGGCTCAGCCGAGCCTCGGCTCGCGCGGAGGAAGCTGCGGCCGCGGCAGGGGCGCCCGATCGGGGGAAAAGGCACGGCAATGGCAGCTCATCTGCACCCGCGGCAACACCACCATCAACTGGCATCCCGCGGGCTCAGCTTCCGCTGCTGGAGACATGCCAGTCGTGGAGAAGGGGGGGCTCGACGCGACCACGAGGGGCCTCGACGCCCACTTGAAGCGGTTAGACCGCAGCGGCTCGCCACGCGCGCCCTCCAAGGGCAGCCGGGCCAGCGGCAGCGGTCGTTCGCAGTCGCAGACACCTCCGCGCGCGGACCGCCGGCTCTCGTGGGAGCGGGGCGACGGCCAGGGTCTGGACTCCGACGCCGACGACCCCGCCCACGGACAGGCCACGCTCGGCGTCTACCTGGAGGCCACGGGCAGCGAATCCGACGAGGCCGATGCTCTACGAGGCCGACGGGCGGCGGATCAGAGCGGATCCGACGTCGCGTCGGGCTTCGACGAGGAGGTCAGCACCATTCTGGGAGGCCTCGCGCGCCACTCGGCCTACATGGCGGAGAACTCGGAGACCGAAGAGGACAGGCGCGCGCATTCCACGCACGCCGACAGGTGGAAGGAACAGCTATCCCAGATGCAGGCAGCCGAGGCCCGGCAGGCCACTGCGCCGACCCCGCGCTCAGCCGCCGCCGGCCTGCTGCCGCGGCCACCGGCCCCGCGGCCCGCGGGAAGCGCGCCTGCGAGCGCGCCCCCCCTGGCGGCCGCGCCAGCGCCCGCCCCGCCGACGCTGCCGACGGCTCGACATCCCGGCCACGCCTCCCCCCCCACGGGCACGCGGTTCGGAGTGTCGAGTCCAGCCCCAGGCGCGCCCCAGAGCGTCACCAGCGTCGCTAGCCTCTTCGTCGATCGAGGCAGCCGCGCGGACTCCGGGCCGGCCCAGATCCCCGGGCTGCCGGACCGCCGAGGAGCAGTGGGAGCAGCCGACGACCCCACCGCGATGCCAGCCTGCGCCCGGGCGTTGCAGGCCGGCCAGGCACAGCAGCACCAGGACCACAAGCAGCTTCTGCACGTGATTCAGGAGGGGGTCGCGCAGCTCGGCTCGCTGGCGGCCATCAGGAAGGCCGAGGAGTTGGACGTGTTCCCGACGAGAGGATGCGATACGACGCAGATAGAAGTCTGCGCCGGCCTCTTGGGCCGCGAGCTGCTTCACTGCCCCCGACGCGCATGCGAAGGCAGCAAGCACGCGATGCCGGCCGTGGGCTGCCGACGACGGTGACGAACAGGATCGAGCACGGCGCGGCGACGCTCTCCTGGGGCAGCAAGGACCACCAGGACCTGAAGAACTGAAGCCTGTCGGTGGCCGACTTTCCAGTTTCCAGGGGCGAAGATCTTGACGAATGCGCCGTGCTGGTCGAGGTCAAATTTCAGCCCCGCCCACGACATCCCGTCGTCTTCAGCCACTGGCACCGCCAGGCCCAGAACGCCATCAAGTCTGGTGCCTCGTCTATGGGCGCGAACACGGCGCCGAGCGGCACGCCGCGCTGGAGAGCCTCTGGTGCTCGCATGAGCACGACGAGGACGAGTACCCGGCCAAGTACGTGCACGCGCTCTGGGAGGAGCTCAACGCGGCCTGGTGCGAGCAGCTCCGCGAGAAGCGACGCGCCCTCTGCCTCGTGCTCGGAGAGCAGGAAGGAGGACCTCAAGCTGTGCACGCTGGCCCCCGCGGGCCCAGGCTCCCAGGCCGCTTTAAAGCTCCCCAGCGTCTGTGACTTGGACGACCCAGGCGGGTGCTACCAAGTCGTCTGCGTCCCGGGAACGAGCGGAAGTGGCGCGAGCTCTTCAACCGCAGCCGGCACGGCCTGGCCCCGAAGGGTCCGGCGCGCTCAGGAGGGGCC